TGTTACATTTGAGCTGTAAGTGAGTGAGACTCGTCAAAGTACAGGAAAGGGTTAAATTTGACAATGTTTAGACTTGAATGGTGTTAGAGTTTCAAACTGTTTTTGGCTGATGAGTGAACGTCTGAGCGACGCCATTTTGTGCGAGTCGAGCGCGAGTAGAAAATGGCGGAAGCGTCCGCCGCACGTCAAAGTACAAACCAATGATTTGATCACGGCAACAATAATGTAGCGTAATAAAGGTTTGCGGAATGAAAGGATTGCAGTATTAATCAATCTCGATCAAGGTAGCCGTTGAAACAACGTGCAGCAGAACGAATCGCTGCGTCAGTTCGCGACCGCTTCTTAACATGGAGGGGTCAGATTAATAAACATAGCGTCGTAATGCACGAACGAATGGGGTAACGTGCCGTTATGTCATATATCATGGTGGCGAGGCGGGTCGCATCGAGACAAGCTGTAACACGTAGGGGAAGAATCGATGGAAGCTATTAACCGTGTTGACCCAAATGACCCGGTGGAAGAAAAAAGCAGCCCGAATCATCACCCTCGGGATTTATTTTGCAAGCCGGATGTCGACGGTTCGTTTCCAAACGAAATTAGCGGTCTAACAAGATGCTCGGCGCGGATTCGCGAAAGAGAAGACGGAAATGAATCTTCCGCAGGATTCAACGTTGTTTTTCTCTGGACGTAATTCACCGCGACCTCGCGAGCAGCCTCGTCGGATTTTTCCGAGCGGTAACAAACGAAGGGGGACAAATGCTCGCGGCCAACTCGGAAAGACGGTGGTAAGACTTCAATCTTTTAACGTGATTAGTTTGCCAGCCTTTCCGATGGAAGGAAAAAAAATTCAGAGGAAAAAGAAACGGAAACGAACGGATGCGTCCCATCCTACCGGCGAACTCTGCCTCTGGGGCAAACCTTGTCTCCTCTAATCTCGTTTCACTCTTCGTCGTTGAGTATTCACCGGCTGAGAATGGCTCTGAAAGAGAGCGATCCTTTCCAGGGTAATTTTACTACTACCGACAGATTACCGCTACTGCCTCGATTGTGCAACGATCACTTTCAATCACCGCTCGACATGCCGACTGATCGAAAGATCTCTTGTCTCAATACTTCGTTCCATCTACAAACATTGACACGTACAAAATTACTCCTAATTTATAATATCACGTGTTTCAAGTGTATACTTCTAACAAAGAACAACTAAAAATAAGATTTTGTGCATATAGGTTAACTGTGACGTCACGTGACAGCTGGCTCCATCTACATCTCTGTACCTTATCGAATTAAGCACGGGAAAACTTGCGGACCAGAATAACAGTTTATATTTCTAAAACTGTGTAGTCTGGATTATTTTTAACTACACTTATTGTTAATATATTTCTAGTTCTTCTAATAAATTGTATGTATGTGCTATCTATATATGCATACGCTATATGTAATTTATATGCTATGTATAATGAATATGCTACAGATATTAATAAACGAACTGCAAATAAAATAGACCGAATTCAAAAAACTCTGATGAAAAAATGGCTGAAAATCTCTCGCTCCATGCTTTATTAATATTCCCGGTAAATAATGGTAGCAGATAAAGCTAGGAAGCTGTTTAGCAGTTAATGAAGCATCAGAACCGCGACACGAGCATCTGCTCTTGGCATTACACGTATCCGTGGCGCTTGGATTTTACACGAGAGATCCAGACGTATCGCGCAAACTTAATGCCGACTTTAGTTCACACGCGCGGCTTAACCCGATAAGCTTTAACCCCTTGATTCCAGCGCGACGTCCTGTTGCCTGTCACCCGATTTCATCTACCAGCTCTCTCGATCCCTCTCTCTCTCTTTCTGCCTTCGAGTCGAGTTGGTCTCGTCGGATTGACGTGACCAAGGAATTCGCACGAGTTCGTGACTCGCGTGTACGTAATAACCGGTCGCTTACCTCCGTCACGATACGCTTCGAAGCTGAACGCGATAAGCGACCTACGGCAAAACGAGAACTTTTCGGGAATCGGTGAGGAAGATCAACAAGTTTCGGAGGAAATTTTGAGCTGGATTCTAAGCAATTTTTGAGGTTTTATATGGTGGTACACAGCGTCTATTAGCACGCATTATGAACTATGTGTAGTAACAGTATGTGTCAATGTACCACACATGGTGCTAATTGTGCCAGAATATCATATGTAGTATATCATATATGTCAGTGCCATGCATGGTGATATAAACGCGTATGTGACATCACGTGTTAATACACCACACATGGTATAATCGCGCCAAAGTATCATATGTAGTAATATGAAAATACATCACACATGATATACATGCATATACGAAATATCATATGTGATGACACCACGAGTCAATATACCACACATGGTGCTATAACCGCGCCTAAATATCATATGTAGTAACATAATATATCAATACATCATATGTGACAGTATCATATATCAATATACCACGTGTGGTGATACATTGCTGTACCATGCATGGTTCCACCATATGTAGATGTAACAAGAGTTGATGTACCATGCGTGGTGACATATGTATTGATACATCATGAACACCATAAGTAAATATGTCAAGCTGATGTACCATGCGTGGTGACACATGTATTGGCGTATCAGGAACATCATAAGTAAATATGACAAGCTCATGTACCATGCGTGGTGACACATGTATTGATGCATCATGAACACCATAAGTGAATATAACAAGTTGATGTAGCATGCGTGGTGACACATGTATTGACGTACCATGAACACCATAAGTAAATATGTCAAGCTGATGTACCATGCGTGGTAACACATGTATTGGCGTATCAGGAACATCATAAGTAAATATGACAAGCTCATGTACCATGCGTGGTGACACATGTATTGATATATGACGAACACCATAAGTGTACCATGGGTTTAAACAAACTATGACATACGAGTAATATTACAACGCGTGTATCTACAATACGTGAGCAAATGATGCGTGGTGATACAACGCCATGCGTGTCATTAAAGCGTCAATATACCAAGCGCGATGACAGCACGCATGACAATACCACGCATGATAATGCACAGCAATACACGACCTAAATATTCCTCCATTTTCCGCATTTTATCCCGTCACGAATTTCTACAATACGAATAATGCGAAGCTCTCCTCGCGAAACGTTTCATTGTTGATTTGCAACGCACTTGTATGAACAGCTTCGAGCTTTCACCAAAATGAGTCTCATTATCTCAACCCTTTTTAATTACCTCTACAAAGTTACAGCCATTGAACACGCTGTGTGCTGTTAATCAAGTTGCCTCCGGCATTCCATAATTCGCATCGAATTATACCTATATGCTTGAAGTACTTGAAAATCAGTGTTACGCGTGAGGCTGAAGAGCAATTCCAACAAGGACGAAGTAACACCGGTGGCGAGAAGGGGGGCCTCGTCATTAAGGTAATGAAAAGTCAGTCTTTCTCGGAAGTGGTTAACTCGATGAACGTTTATCGCCGCGGAACTTTTGCCGTCGAGGGTTATTAATATCGGGGCCAGAACGAATCGACGTCGCGCCGGATCGAACTTCTCTCCGACAACAGGTAGCTTTGCCGTCGTCGATCGGCCGTGTTAATAACGCGAATTCCGGTTCGAACGTGGCTGCCAAAAATCCGCCCGTAAAAGTTTCGCCGTACGAAGCTTAATTAAACATAGTTTTAACAGGGGTTGAAAGCGTTAGCGTTAACTACTTCGACAGGCTTTCCAATTACTAAGGGGTTAACGAGATCAATGGAAACCGTAAACCTTCGTCAGCTGAAACGCTGTGTATTTTCGGGCTGGTTAAGCCCCCGGGCGGAAATCGCTCGGAATCGAGCAACGCGCATATGGAAGGGAAACGCTGAAAAGGAAAAAGGGAAAGGTCGCGAAGTTGTACGGGTCAGCTCGGCGAAGCAAACTGTCAGGCGTAGAAATCCAATCTTACACGGCGTTTTGTAGAGGCGAACGTAAGCTGGTTTCGAGGGGTCGAAGATAAGGGTGGATTTCGCCGTTGCATAAAAGCCAGCCGTCCGATACTTCTGTACCCTCTCTGTCCACTACCCTCGAACCCTTCTCTCGCACACCCTTTTTACACCACCCACGGGTTTCTATAATCGCGTCACACATCGTCAAAGAATTCACACTAGATCGCGATTCCCCTCGAAAGAATCGTTTGATATTTCACGCAGATACGAATTTAATATCGTTTATGAAAAGAATTTAATAATTAACGCTAGGCAAAGGCGTTAAAGCAGATTGAAGAACAAACTTGACGAGACTTTTTAATCAGCGAAGGTCTAGTGCCCTTTACAGCTAGCTGACGTACGCTCGACGTTCAAGGCGTAGGCAGATTGTTAATCGGTCGCAAATTTATAACTCGATATTGTGTCGTGTAACGAGCTTAAAGTACGAATAGCTCAAAGGAATTTTTTCGAATTTCATTCACTTAGAAAATCTAATTTTTATATCATAATAGATATTTAATTTTAATTAAACCTTGTCATTTTTAACGTATCGTTAAGGGACGATAGTTTCAATAAAGTCAAATTTACAAAAGACTTTCTGTACTTAAAATTGCTAAATGGATTTCGACTGTTGTTACAAACAAAAAGCAGTTATAAAATAGTTCTAACGCGGCGTCAAAAGGCAGTACGAAAAGGTCGCGATTACCGAAGGTACTCGATTCAGTAAATTTGAATTCCTTTCATCGTCGGTAATCCATCAATTAGAGCAATGGATTCATAAATTCATCTCCTGGGAGTAATTAAGAAGTTCTCGGAGGATAAGTAACAATGGCGTAATGAATGAACGAGTACTTTCGGATTCCACGGAACGATTTAATTCCCGTCATTAAAGAGGAAACGCGATCACTTATAATTTGCCGTTTACAACGGCCATCCGGGAAATAATTATCTCCTAAATCGACGCTCAACGCCGTCGAACAACGTGTCAAGCTGAAATTGTTGGAGTAACGAGCTTACCTTACACTTGGGGTACTCTTCGGCGGGGGTGGGTCTTTTCCATCCCAGCAGCGGCGGGATGCAAACTAGCGCCGATAGTAGCCAAACCAGGGCGATCATTAGCGCGGCCCTAGCCGGGGTCCTCTTCTTCAAGTAATTCACCGCTTGCGTGATGCTCCAGAACCTGTCCAGACTTATCAGGCAGAGATTCATGATGCTGGCGGTGCACAGCAACACGTCCATGGCCGAGTGTATGTCGCACCACCAGTAACCGAAGATCCAGTAGCCCATGATCTCGTTGGCCAACGAGAAGGGCATGATGACCAGACCCAGGAAGAAGTCGGCGACAGCCAGGCTGGCTATGAACCAGTTCTGTATGTTCTTCAGGGCTTTCTCGGTGGCGATGGCGATGATCACGAGCATGTTCCCCACGACGATCACGATCATGAGCAGCGTCGCCAGGACGGAGGCCATTATGATGTGCGGCAACGTGTAGCCCGAAGGGTACAAACTCTCCCCGAGCACGAAATACGATTCGTTGTACAGGCTACCGTTCCACGGGAGCAGGAGACTCTCGTTGAAGGAGTCGTTCAACGGCCCACCGAAATCTTCCATCATGCCCCCCAAACCGAACAACAGTTCCAGCTGTCTGAGTCTTTGATCGTCCTCGGAGGTGCCGTTGGAATCGGTGGCGTTCAGCTCGGTGACGAGAAACGGCAGCCTGGTCGGTGACACGGTGTCCACCGGTCGACTCACCGGGTTCGACCTGGTGCAAGCGCAACCGTACTCCCTCGTTCTCTCTCGCTGAACGCTCGTGCCAATCCCGGTATCGTTGTCCGTGCGAGCGGACGGTGCTTGCTCGGGACGTTTGGTAGCAGGATCGGTAGCTAGTCGCAGCAGGTACTGCTCGTCGCTGGGGATCGAGTGGGCCTCGTTAGCGGAAGACGTAGCGGCACCGGTTGATCGAGACCACGTCATGTTCTCCTCGAAGACGCTGGTGGACGCCGTTGTCGGACTACCGGCGTCGATGGTCATAATGCTGCCGAGGAGCGGCATCACTCGCACCCTCGCCGTCGACTGTAGATGCTATCTCGACGAAGTCGAGGCGGACGTGGCGG